TCCTCCTCCTCCTCCTCCTCCTCCTCCTCCTCCTCCTCCTCCTCCCTCGCCCTGGAGCGAGCGCCACCCCAGGCCAAAACGGCGAGCGACCGCTGGCTGGAGCATCCATAGCGGAGCGCCGGTCGAACGACGGAGCGGGCGAGGTTTGCTCGCCCGCCTCCAACGCGACGCACAAGAAACCTTCCACTAGAAACCTTCCACAAACAACCCAACCCTGAGACCCCAGGGCGTCCACTGATTTTTGGCGTGGGAGCGTCACGCTTTCCATGGCAAAACCCTCGAAACCCAAGAAGCCCACGGCACCCTGGAGGCGAGCAGGGTGTTTCTTGGCACGGGTCTCCACTGCAGGCGGGCTGCGCACCTTTCATTCTGTGCGCAGTACCACTTGGACCACCAGAGGAGGAGGAAGAGGAGGAAGAGGAGGAGGAGGAGGATGTTGTCGTGCCACCGAACGGCCTGGGAAGGCGCCTGAAGGAGACTCCGCAGTTAGAACCGAGCCAGAGGGCTCCATCGCCTCTCTGGTGAAACTGCCCAGCAAAACCCCCCACCGCCCAGCGGGCGGGGCCCGAAAGTGGGAACTCTTGCCCATGGGGCCTTCCTCAGGAATGCGCACAAAACTGGGTGACTTCGTGAAGATGTCGGCGGCAAACAGAAATATGTCATCACGAAGCCCTCCACAGTCCTGGAGATTTCCAGACGTTCCTCAAGAATCCTAACAAAATGTCCCCCAGAATCCGAAAACGTTCTGCAAGAATCCTACAGTTTCCCTGCGGCGCCCCAAAGGTTGCCTAGGGAATGCTAAGGCCTCGCAAGGGATCCCAAGAATATCCTCAACAAACCTATCGACTCCGAACGGAAAAAAAGTCGCATGGAATCCTCGGGATTCCCCCGGAACCGTCAGGGTTTCAGCAATCCTAGGGGGACCGCAAGTATCGAGGATCCTACAGACAAATCCTCGCAAACCTCCACATGCTGCGGTGTTGGCCCGGTAGCTCGTGCGCGCACCGCTCGCATCACAAACCGAGTGCAAGCAGAGCGCGAAGTAGACAAAGCAATGCCAGTGCAGAAGTATCAAAGCGTGGTACGTGCATCCCCCCCTTATGATCCGACCGATCATGCACAGAACCTGGCCTCCTCCCCCTCCTCCTCCTCCTCCTCCTCCTCCTCTTCTTCTTCTTCTTCTTCCTCTTCTTCCTCCTCCTCCTCCTCCTCCTCCTCCTCCTCGTCCCCCTCCTCCTCCTCCTCCTCCTCCTCCTCCTCCTCCTCCTCCTCCTCCTCCCTCCTCCTCCTCCTCCTCTCCCCCCTCCTCCTCCTCCTCCTCCTCCTCCTCCTCCTCCTCCTCCTCCTCCTCCTCCTCCTCCTCCTCCTCCTCCTCCTGGCCGAAAACGTGCCAGAGGGGCCCGAGGAAGGCAAAGGGAAAGAATCCCCAGGATGGGAAACGGCACCGAAACATGCCAGAACACGACCAGTTTCCAACAACCTTCTGACCAAACTTTCGAGGTCCACGAGGCTCTCTCTAAGCTCAGCAATCTCAGGGCAACTACAGGCCCAGAGTCGACGATGTAGCGCGTCGGGGGGCAAGCCGCATTTCTGGCAGACGGGGTCCAGGCCGCATCCAAGATCACGAGCTTTCTGGCGGGTCCAGATGGCGTGAGTGGCAACTGCTCGAACATAACCTGTCTCGAAAGGCGAAATACGTTTGCTCCTAAGGAACCCATTTAGCCGCAGCCTCCCGTTCTAAAACTCGAAGAACGGCGGGCTTCAGGTGCTGTGTCATAAGCTGGGCAGGATGAGAGTCAGGGAGAGCTCTACACCCCTGTCAGAGATGTACGTGGCAAAGTCCCCCATCGTCCAGGAGCAGCGACTTCCGCATGGCCAAAACGGGACCTGAGACAGGCCTCCAACTGGAAAACAAAACCATCCCACGCATGCCTCAGCCCCCTGACACTCAAAGAGCCATCAAAGGCCCGAACCTGGGTTAGAAACACGTCCTTCTGCAAACGACGGATGGGCGCGACTAGGGGGCCACATGCGAACCCTACCCCTACCCCCCACGATTTCTGAGGGGGAGGGTGGGGTTCACTTCGCTTGGGAGCTCCCGAACGAAGTGAACCCCACCCTCCCTCTCAGAAATCGTCGGGGGTAGGGGTAGGGTTCGCATTTGGCCCCCTAGCGACGGCCCCAACCCGAGCAGGATCCCCCATAAGATGGGTCAAAACGGCCAGGGAGCGTCGGCCAGCATAGGGCCTGAATCGCGCGTGCCGCTGCGCGGCGCGGGTGCAGCAACTCGCAGCCCGTGACTCCACGCACTCCGCTGCCGTGCGGCGCACCTGGCAGAGGTCCTGCAGCCAAGACTCTCTCCACGTGCGACGGTGCCCCGGAACCGAACGGAGGCTGACCACACGGCCCCGCCCTCTTCCCGAAGAACTCCGCTCGGGTGCTTCACTTCTCGGCGCCCCCGCGGACCCTAAAGCTGTTCCCGGCAGTGCCATCCGTCCCGAGGTGAACCGAACTCTCCGAGATGGGTCCGATAACATCGGCACCGAGCTTGCGCTGGATGGCACGACCAAATGACGGCAGAGGAGCGGGCCAGACGGGGCTTCCTCTCGAGAAACCCGACCTCCAATGGCCGGCAACGATGGCCTCACGAAGCCGGGGCGCTCCCTCGACGAGAGCATCCACCACGAAGCTAAAAGAACCTACAGCGCTGAGACCAGAATCGTCGATATAAAGGGCCAGGTCCAGGCCTGGTCTGAGCCAAACTCGATCGAGCGCCTCCAAGCTGTTGACCCGAATCATCGTCGTCGCCAGCGAGCAGCCAGGCACAGTCCCCGCTTTAACGAACCAGGGACCGTCCAAACAGCCGCCCAAGGACAAGAAGCGAGGGGCCCGATAGGCCCTGATGGCCAGCTTGGCCATGGCAACGAGGTAATCCAGGGGAACACACATCTAGCTTGGAGCGGATCTGGATCGATAAGCTTGTAATGCTTAGACATGTCCCACGGCAGAGTCGCGGCGTGCTCCTTGCGAGCCTGCAGAGAGCCAGGAGACCAGGCACAGAAATCATGCTGTAGTGCCTCAATGTGGAGGCCGTCCACCCCCACAGCGGAACTGGACTTGCCTGCAACGTTCCCGAGGATCGAGGAGGGGGAGTTCGAAGGAGGGTTCGAAGTCCTTGACCTGTGAGGGCTGGCAGGGAGTGGACGTAGCTCTCCATACCTCGATGAATCGGTGCCGCTCGGCACCGAGAAGAGAGAGCGGGTCGCTGACCACGCACCCGTTGGCCGAGAGCGCGGAGGTAGGCTTCTTTGGTTGCGGTTCAGCCGAGTCCATGTGCGCACGCTTAGCCCCTTGGTCGATGTTCTCCCGAAGCCAGGCCCTCCGAGAGGCCGAACTGCTGGACTTGAATCGAGACTCGACTGAAGCAACCATGTCCTCGGCGCGCAAAGAGAGGTCCAGCACCTGGTCCGCGACCTCGCTGGAAGCACCTACAGCCAAACCTGAAACAATCGATTGCAGAGTGTCGTAGAACTATCTACTTTTACCCAACTGCTCAACCACAAACGGGGGAGGAGAATACACTTTGGATTTCAGGGAGGGCAAGGCGGGGCACCCAGCACCAGGACAGGGATCTTGGGTACTCAGAAATACTCTGCAATCTAGGATTCGGTTGTACACCCAGCGCGCAGCA